CCCCCCCCCCCCCCAACCCCCCACCCCCACCCCCACCCCCACCCCCACCCCCACGCCACGGGTCGCCATGGCCCAGGCTGCATTCCGAACGACTTGCGCAGGATGCGGGGCGCCGTACCGCGACCCACGGCTGCTGCCGTGCCTGCACACCGCTTGCGCATCTTGCGCTGCCTCGGGCCCGTGTCCGGTCTGCACCGCCGCTCTCCCGCCAGGCGCTGCTGCTGGCGATCTCCCGCGCAATCTCCTGGTGGCCAATGTCCTGACTCGTGCTGCCTTGGCGGCTGGCCCGGCCTCACCTACTCCGCCGCCCTGTGCCGTTTGCTGCCCGCCGCCGCCTCTGACCGGCCCTGATCGAGCCAAGCCGCCGCTGGCTGCCCCGCCGCCGTCGGCTGCCGCCAGCTACGCCTGCTCGCAGTGCGCGTATCTGCTCTGCGAGACCCACGCCCGTGCCCATGCTGCCGCCGCCGCCACAGGCCGGCATACCCTTGCCGTCCTCCACTCCGACGATCTGCCTCCCGTCCACGCTCCGGCACTCTGCGGACGGCACCAGCCGAGCGACGCTGACAACGCGCCGCCGCTCCCGCGCTCCGCAGCCGGCCCGCTCCCGCTTGAGCTGTACTGCTACTCGTGCAGTGAGCTGGTGTGCTCGCTCTGCGTCGTCGGCGCCCACCGCGGCTGCGATGTCCGCCCGGTCGATGAGGCTGCCGGCGACACGGCGTCGGCCCTGGTCGGCCTCCGCGGCGAGCTGTTTGCCCTTGCTAACGCCTTTAGCGCGTGTGCAGACACAGCGACCGCGGCCCAGGACCGCCTCACCGCCTCGGCAGGCCAGGCTGTCACCGCCATTGACCTTGCCTTTGACGCCGTCTTTGAGGCGCTCGTCGCCCGCAAGTCAGCGCTCATCCGCGAGCTCGAGAGCCAGCGCGCTGCACGCGCCTCCACTCTTGCCGCCGCCCATCACGACGCCATGCAAAGCCACGCCCGGGCTGCGTCTGCGGCAGCCTTTCTCGGACTCGCCCTTGAGCAGGCTAATCCGCCGGAGCTCCTTGCCCTTGCGCCATCGATGACCGCTCGTGCCGACACTCTGCTCGCCACTGAGGCCGCAGTCGACGTCGGCACAAGCGCCGACACGCAGTTCACTCTCGCCCTGGATCCGACTCCGGCAGTCACGGCCATCGCTTCGCTAGGTGCCCTTCTCCCGCCGACAAGTGCGCCACAGGCGGCCGCGCAGCTCGCCGCACACCCTCGAGAGCCCCACGAGCCGTCGTTCCGATCGCCAAGCCACCGCGTCGCCCCATCACCGGCATCATCGTCTGCGCCCCATGCCCCACTCTCGCACGCTGGGCCCACCACGCTCGTTCCTGACGGCCAGTCACCGGGCCGCAGGCGCATCGACGTTGTTCGCCCGCGCAAGGTGTGGGGCAAGTACGGCCGGGCACTCGGTCAGTTCCGTGCGCCTGCGGGCATTGCTTGTGATGCTGTGACCGGCAATCTAGTCCTCGCCGACAAGGACAACAGCCGACTCGTAGTCCTTGATCCTTACGGCGTGTTTCTCGGCACTGTTGACGGCGGCGGGGCGCTGCGTGCGCCGACCGGCGTCGCCCTCGATCAAAGCCGCTATTACGTCTCGGACTCTGGCTGCCACTGCGTGTGGGTTCTCTCGCGCGAGAGCGGCGACGTCGAGCACGTCTGGGGCTCGCCTGGCTCGGGCAACGGTGAGCTCGCGTCGCCGCAAGGCGTCCTGCTCTTGCCTGACGGCTCGGGCACGCTTGCCATCGCCGACTCGGGCAACGCACGAATCCAGCTGTTTGATAGCTCGGGCCTCTTTTCCCACAAGATCAGCGGCCTGGCCGTGAGCGGAACCGAGCTGCGGCGGCCGTTTGGCCTCGCCTGGCTCGGCGCCGGCGACGCCGAGGCCGCCTCGGGCGCTGCCACACCGGCGCTGCTTGTTAGCGATCTGGCCGGTGGCCGCATCCTCGCCTTTAACATGGACGGCACCGCGCACGCTCTCCACGCCCAGCTTGCTGGTCTTGATCTGGTCTCGCCGGCCGGCCTTGGCCTCCTCGGCCAGCGCTATTTGCTTGTTGCCGACTACACCAGCCACTGCGTGGTGGCGTGCGAGCTGGCGTCCGGCAAGAGCGTGCGATTCGGCGGCCACGGGACGGCACCGGGCCTCTTTGTCAATCCCATCGACCTGGTAGTCGGAGGGCGGCATGCCGCTGCTGTCGTTGTTGTTGACCACAGCAATGCGAGGCTGCAGGCGCTCGACCTACATTCGGCGCTGCACTCGGTGCTCGGGTGAATTTGGTGCAACCAAACCCATTCTGTGAGCGGCACGACGTGGGCCCACTCCAATACAACATTCGCCGCACTTTCTCTCCCAAGTCTTGGGTCGTTCCAAATTTAACATTCAGAGACAGCACGGGCATTCTTGGACACTCACAGGCCTCCCGCATCACGCGGGGAGCAGTGCCATGGAGAGCTCGTCGGCAACTCCCTTGACGAAGGACGAGAATTGCGCTCCGTTCATCGGAGGCGTCAGAGCATATCTTTTTTTTTTGTCGCCGCTACGCATACCTCTGTCTCACCCGCCCCTCATGCCGCTGCTGCTCTCCGCAGTTTGCAATTGCAAATTCAATCCATCTGGGTGGTCACCACGTGCTCGACGACTCTTCGAGCTTGGAGCTTGCATCGCGGGCCACCTCTGCCTGCGGGGTGGCAAAGACATCATCAAGCTTGACCGGTTTTTTGGACTTGGACTTGGACTTGGCCTTGGCCTTGCTGCGGCGCTTGCGACGGGCACGTTTGTCACCGACGTCGACGCCGTAGTCGTCAATGTGCTTGTACTCGCCGTCGACGAGCTTGTGGCCGACGCGCTGGTGATGGTAGCCGTCGTCATCGGGGCGGCCGACGATGACGCCGTCAAAGTCGTCGGTTGCGCCTTCCTCGGACGACTTGAGCTCAACAGGCATGGGCTTGTCGAGGTTGGCAAACCTTGTTCCGCCCTTCTTCAGATCCTTGATGATGAGCGGGAGCGTCTTGGGCATGCCCTCATCGGCCACGCCGAGCGCGAGGTACCAGTCGATGTCGTCGTGGACCGACTGCTCAATGGCATCGACCTCGAGGTCGTTGACGTCGTCGCCAAACGGATCTTCGAGCTCGTTTCCGACCGAGTTGATGCCAAACAGGACGAGGGCAACAAAACAGGCCGGAATGGGCGAGTACCAGCCGTAGAACTTGACAAGCACAAACGGCAGGGTGTAGACATACAGCGCCAGAAAGTACCACAGCAGCTGCGCGTACGGGAACGGGAGCTGCAGCGTCTGGACCTTGACTAGCGCTGCAAAGACGCCTGTCAGCGACTCGAGGTGCCGGTCGATGTGCAGCTCCTCCAGCTCGGTGATCTGGTTCGAGTCGCGGAGCTGGCGGAGAAACGAGTCAATCCAGCCCAACACCTTGAGCGGCCGACGCTTGAGGTCGCGCAGCTCGTTGATCTCCTCGCGGGTGTACAGTGCCGGATTGAGCAGCTCGGGATTGTCAAAGTCGTTCTCCTTCCGCAGATGCATCCGCGTCAGCGAGAAGAACAGTTTGCAGTAGCGGCAGACCCGCGCCGCGGCACCCTCGTTGACTCGTCCAAGGTAGTGTGCCGTCTGTCGCGAAAAGTTGCGCAGATCGTGAGCCGTCCGTCCAAGATGGCCGCGACCCTCACGGTAGCGCGAGAGGGAGATGTTGGTCCGGAGCACTAGGAGGAAACCGAGTGTCGATGCCAGCAGCGTGTGCGCCGTGTCGGGCATGACCAGTCCCGTCTTAGCTTTCCCCTGTGTATGTATATATGTATGTGTGTGTGTGTGTGTGTGTGTGTGTGTGTGTG